TTTGTTTTTTTAATGTATGTTTTTGTTTTTTTAATGTATGTTTTTTTTTTTAAAGCATAATCTGATTTATCAAGGGTAGCTGGGTATTAACCCACTTGAATTTAGAAATTTAGAGTGAAGAAGTTATTCTTCATTCAGATCAATGCCTAATTGCTCTGTGCTTATGAAGACAAAGCAGTGGTGGGTTGCAGGTGATACGCCCTAATATGGGCGTACCGGATCCTGCCCGGAGCACCGGATACCGGTATGGTGCTCCAGAGTGCCCGCCCGCACTCCCTACTGGTGCTTTATGCTGTTGGTGCTTCCATGCACACACATTGTGCATACGGCGCCTGCATGACACCCCACGGAGCAGCTGGAGCGTCACGGAGGCTTGCAGAAGCGCCATTTGATGCTAAAACGCACATCACACATGTGTGCATGTGGGTAACTCCGGGGCCGTTCCAACCGTACTGTTTGGAATGGAATCCGGAACCCACCACTGAGACAAAGAGCAAGTCAGTACAAAAAGATTATAAAATCAGAAGATATTTGTATAGAATTATTGCATTACTCTTTAAAAATAAATATCTTTTTCTATCCAGGTGCCCTTTCTGGAGCTAGAGAGAGTTGGGAATACGATTCTGGAGCTAGAGATCTTCAAAGCCCTGATTTGCATAGTTGTTCAATTTTACAAAAGCCATTTGAATATGGTGGGAATACTATGAATCAACAAGTTGTCCTTCAAAGATTGCTTACACAGGCCACCAATCTAAGCAATTCAGTCGGAGGAAGTTATCTAGAACTTGCCAACACTGTAAGTACCACTTTTTCAGATTCAGTTCTTTAATTTATCAATCTCAGCAGTTTTAACGTGTGAATGTCAACTCCCAGAATTCCCAAGCTAGCATTAGGTAAGATAAAGTGATTTCATGACGTGAATAAGTGTTAATATCGTTTTCCTATCAATGGAAATACTGATAAGAATCTACTATATTTTTGGGAGTATAAGACAGACCTTTTCCCCCCCTAAAAGAGGATGAAAATGTTGGTGTGTCAAATAAAGCCATTTTTGACCTCTGGAAACCCCCGCCCCGCACATCCAGTTTCTCTTGAGCGATGATCCACATGCAGTTCCCGCCAGTGTCCAGCCTTCCTGATCCAGGTGATCGAGGACATTCGCCATGTGATAGGCGGGAATTCTCTAGGTCAGGCAGGAGTTCGTTTTTATCCACAGCTCAGAATGGGCCTGTTTTTCATTTTTCCAAACCCCCCACGCATCACATGTTTGCCCTCCCCAGCCCCCAGGAGCACTTTTCAGGCCTCCGAAACTCTCTGCATGCCCTGTTTTTCACAAAAGACGGGGCATGCAGGGGGTTTGGGAG